CCCCCCCCCACCCCGCGCAACGTCACCAGCATATAGCACAACGTAGCATCCAACCCAGTGTGCAACGTTAACCTATATGTGTGAAACGCAACGTCAAGATGCAACATAGACGCATACATATATATTCTGGGAAAGTGCACAAAACATCCAAGAAGCAAAAAACGCAAAAACGCACGTACGGTTTTAGAGCCGTTAGCAAAAACATGCCATCATCATCTCGTGACAATGTCCATCCTTGTCGAAGAAGTCGTCCAAAGCTTAGCAAAGGATGAGTGACTCCTTGACCGAGAGCAAATTGCTCGATGAATTCGATGACCTCTCCATCTCGGGTCTGGGCTTGCAAACGTAGCCGCCGGTTTCCACTGCTCTTGATGGTTTCTCCTTGAGTCCACCATTTGTGCGGCTTTTCGTCCACCGGGGATGCCGAGACGATAGTATTCCTCTGGTGCCACTGAAATGTCCGCTCCAGAATCTAACGTCATCAGTACAGACTGGGGCACCGCGGCATCTGTGATCATGAAGACCTGCAAAGGCAAATCCTTTTCTGTGCGTTGGGCTCTCTCCTCCTTGGTTTCTCCTTCGTTGCTGATGGCTTTCCACTGCGTCTCCATGGTTGGCATCTCGATCCAATGTCAGGTCCCAATCTGAACGTTTGTACTCCCTGTTGACCGGATTGATGAAGCAGCGACCGTTGAGGCTGGTGCGAGGGATTTCGGGCCAGAACGGACTAGAGGCCTGGCGGGTGTTCACAAAAGACCTCCAACCAAAGACTCGTCAACGTTCACTTGCATTGGTACAAGCATTGAACAGGGTACAATTCGATCAGAGCAAATCAGTTACAGAACAGTTACCACAGTTCGAGTTGATGGTCCGTGAATATGAACGAAGTGCCTCTGCAACATATCCAGATGATTTGAAGATTGCAGCGTTTGTCACAGCTCTACCACCCAGTCTTCGTGTTCACATCCAGATGTCTCTGCGCGATGATACGACCTTTGAGGAACTTCGCCAGAAGATCGAGCTCTACGAGCAGGTCAGTCAAAGGTGGAGTGCAGAGCAGGGTGGATTACAGTTGATGGTCAAACCATGGGGAGCTGATGAACAGGACAAGACTGCAGGACCTATGGACGTTCATGCAATCACGTACAAAGGAGGCAAGAAGGGAGGAAAGAAAGGTGGCGGAAAGAAAGGTGAAAAGGGAAAGAGCAGAAAAGGCAAAGGTTTCTGGTCATCTGAAATCGCCAATCTAACCACTTAGAAAGCTCTTCAGCTCGTGACTCCGGTTGGAAGGCGGTTGGCGGCTTGAGGTGCTTTGTAAACCCATGCAATGCCTGTGCCAGTCCTGGCACTCCATTTCCAGCTCCAGTAGGCGTGTCCCCACCTGTGGCCGGAACGGCCTGTGCAGCATCAGTGACGCCAGCCATGATCGAGGCCCTTCTACTAGCTTGCCAGGGACTTCAGCAAGCCGAGTACACCCGGTGGATTGATCCCCCAAAAGGGTACCCCGGAGTTGCCAGGGCTACTGGCAGAGTTCCGCTACCGTGAAAAGCAAATGCGCCCCTTTTGGCGCTCTCGGTTCGAGCCTGGTTCAAGCGAGGTGACACGTGTGCAACCAGTCATGTGCTATCATGTTCAAAGGTCATTGGAATGCCACTAAATCCTATCAAAGGGAGTAAGCTACCACATATGGACGCAGGCTAGCTCACGCTCGCACTGATGATTTGCTTCCTAAACACCCATACTGAATGACGCTCTTTAGATCCTTTGTACAGAACACTCCACGAGGATCCTCCGTCTTTCAACTACCCTTGAAGCGGTTGCCTGTCTTCAGGTGTAATTATAATGGGTCCTCCCGTGTGCGTGGACCATGTGGGTGGCACCCTGGAATAATTTTCTTATTATTCCAGGGTCATGCACATACACGCGTGTAAATTATTCCTGGTGTATCCCACACAGTGGAATAATTGACGCAATGCATAGAGCTCATATGCTTGGCTATGCTTAGAATTCGGGGGGGTCATGGCCTCCTCAAGCAGGAAATGTTTGGAGCCGATCCTGTAGGGCAGGAAGTGAGAGTTATGGCCTTCTAAAACAGGAGAGGCTTGGAGCTGATCCTATCTTTCTTTCTTTCAAGTGGACACTTCGATTGGACGGACCGGCAGGATTGAATTCGGTTGTAGGCCTTAAAGAGGGCCAAGATCAGTTCTGAGATTCACAAGGATCGTCACACCAAACACAAAATACTTCTGATGTCTAACAGGAGTTGGTGGCCCCAGAATAATTTTCCCGTTTGTGGAGAGGTTGGTGAGGGGTGCAGGGAGGTGGGCTGTCTGTGTCTGGCCGTGCCTTCACAGGGCCTGGGGCCAATGTGAAGATACTACCGACTTCGTTGCCAGTCT